TGCATATGGAGGGTTCTCTAAGGACACACATACAGAAAAGAACACACCAGATGTAGGCTAGATACTACCTATACTTTCAAACATTCCCCTAAAGTCTTGAAATGGACATCCTGTGGATACTGGAACTTACTTATGTAAAATCTACTTTTGCACACAAGTGCCTAGGCCAGTATATTCTCAAAAAAAAAGTAAATTTATCTTGTCAAATATTAATATGGGAGCATGAGGGAGACATCAATCATTGCTGAGAAGGCTTCTTCATCTGCCAGTGTGACTGGTTCTGCAATCAAAGGTTTAAATTCTGTCTCTGTCACTTCCCAGGCTGGGTGTCAATACATTGCTTGTGTTCTGGTTGTTCAGTTGAATAAAATGCAGATAATACCATTCCTGACACCATGTAGGTATTTGAGAAGCAGTTAAGTTCATATCTATCTATCTGTCTGTCTGTCTGTCTGTCTGTCTATCCATTTCCATCTATCCATTCATCCATCCACCATCTTTGTATTCATCCATCGTCTACCTATCATCTATTTTATTGTGAACTATATCATCCGTGTGTGTGTCTTAAGTGTGTGAGTCTCATGTATGCACATGTGCGTAAAATACATAGGATATTGTCTAAAATAAATGCTCAAAAATTGACAGTGATTAATTTCTAGAACCAGATAGAAGGGATAGTAAAATAAAGGAATTAAAAACCAAAAGTAGGCTTTTAGGTTCAACGGTGAGAGAATAAAAAAGATCAAAGATGAATATGCATTTTCTGAGCAGGTTAGGAGATGCAGTTGAGTGTGCGGGCAGCTGTCAGAGAGGAGAAGCAACTTGGCTGCTGCATAAAAAATCCACAGTTGTCAGGCCCATGCTGGAGGCTGTTCTTCACTGCTTTCCAGGACTCACAGAACCAGCTGCCTGCACCCAGCATGAGCTCACACAGTCCCTTTGCTAATTCTACTCCTAGAATTGAAAAGTCAGAGCCAAATGTATCTAGTACCTCAGAGCAATAACCTCATCCACCAACAACACCAAGGCCTGAGAGTTGAATTTGCATGTGGACTGCAGCAAATACACAGTGAGGAAATAGCTTTGTGTTCTGGAAGCATCCGGCCTCTTTGCAACGGTTCTTCATTTCTTGAAGTTCTGAGAGATTATTGTACTCTCAGGGTGATCCACTCTGTTTCCTGAACCTATAGGACTGCAGACATCCGTCTGTTGGGACAGCCGTACCAACGTGTCACTAAGTGATGGATGCTTTCCTATGGCTCTGCTCAAGAGCTTGAAGGTAAGCTCTCACTTCAGCTCCACAGACAGCTGAGGCAACAGATGGTCTTTCTGGAGGTCTGCTCAATTGCTGCAGTCTGAGGTTTGGAGGCCGGCCCCCATTTGTTGGTAGTTAAAATAGACTAGGAAAGTAAAGAACTCTTACAGAAATGGATGCAGCAAATATAGTGGCTACTAGGATGAATGGGTAGGAAGTTGGGAAATGTTTGTGGAATTGTCTCCCTGACTTTAAAGGATCTAATAAATTTATGCTACAAGGCATATGAGGGAGCCAGAGTTGTTTTGAAGCCATCTCTATAATGCTTGCATCCTGGCTATCTTTCAGCACACAAAAATGTCAAGTGAGCCAAACACAACTAAAAGACAACAGGGTAGATCTCTTCTCAAAACTGAGTGGTATACTTAACAATTACTTATAACCAGGCCTTGGAACATGTGTATTTTCGTAAGCACTTTGAGGGATATGGGAGAATGTGTACTTTGTTTCAGACCATCTCTGAGACTCAAACATCCTCCACAATAAGAAATATCTGTTCATATAAAACTAGAACACTCAATGAGGGGCTGGTGTGATGACTCAGTTGGGTGAGTGCATGCTATATACACAAGAGGACTTGAGTTCTGATTCCCAACACAGGTAAAAGAAAAAAAAAAGATAGGTATAATGATGTACCTGTAACCCCCATGTTAGCAGGGCAGAGAGAGATGGACTCCTGAAGCTCATTGGCCAGCCAGCCTAGCTAAATCCGTAATCTCTGGGTTCAGTGAGAGACTCTGTCTCAAGAAGTAATTCAGAGAACAATTGAGAAAGACATCCAAAACCAATCTCTGGTTTACATACATGTTCACATTTATTCACATACCACACACAGAGAGAGACACACAAAGAATATTTGATAAACCCATGGGATTCTTAGCAATATACTAACTAAAAATAGTCATTATTCAGAGACATAAACTTCACAGGAAAACAGTTTGGTTTGAAGCTTGCTATTTATATTGCATGGTAGAAACCTTGATGCCATCTTAACCCTGCAACTGAAGGGCAAGTTGTGAGATGGCTCCAACAGTATGTCTCTGAGGAGCTGGGGAGACAGTGCAGTTGCTAAGGTGCTTGCCACACAAGTATGCTAACCTGAATCAAGAGTCTCAGCATTCAGTTAAAAACCAGGAAGATATCACATCATAAGGTCAAACGGTTGGACAAGTCTGAAAGTTATATTACAGTGAAGGGCACCAACACTTCAAGAAACGTACTATCAACTAGAAAGGGAAGTTGATCTCAGGACAAAGTACCATTGCAGCCAGGATGCTACGGGAAAGATGGTGATATCCTCAGACTCTCTCTAGAATGCAGTGGGTGCCCTACCACACTAGTGACACATAAAACGCCACAATGTCATAGACCATAAGATGATTCCCATCCAAACAGTGCAGAGCCATGTTTCTCAACCTGTGGGTCACAACCCTTTTTGTGGGTCAAATGACCCTTTCACAGGGGTCATCTAGGACCATCAGAAAACACAGATATTTACATTATGGTTCATAACAGTAGCAAAATTACAGTTATGGAGTAGCAATGGAAATAATTTTATTGTGGCAGGGGGTGGTCACCACGACATGAGGAACTGTATTAAAGGGTTGCAGCGTTAGAAGGTTGAGAACCACTGGGGTAGAGGCAGGAACTGCAGGAACACCTCAGCCTAACAGAATTTGAGTTTTCCAGGGGAAAAGTAGGATCATTCCATTTAGATGGCACCTTTACCTGCACTCTAGAAATGAACACTTGGCACTGATCAGGAAAATTACTTATCAAGCAAGTCACTTAGGTTTATTGTGTCATTGTGAACAGAGATTCTGGGTAAAAGAGAAAAGGATGTAGTGAAAAGATGGCAAAGCTGTACACACTGAAAAAACATTTCAGTGGGGTCCTTAGTCCTTGGCAGTTCTGTGTATTTACACCCTGGTCAACACTCAGCTGAATCCTTACAAGGAGCACTCTGTAAACCTTAGAAACCTCCATCCAGACCATTCTTTCCCCAAAACTAGCTGCCTTGGCAGTTATTTGCAAGCATGGAAGTTAATATGGCCCTTGTTCTCCTGTGGCTCACAAGTGGAAATCTGTTCATTTTAAATGAAAAGTAAAGAGGTAGAGAAATAGTTTAGCAGTAAAGAGCACTGGCTGCTCTTCCAGAGGACCCATGTGAAGACGCACAATGATCTGTAGCTTCCATTCCTGGAGATCCAATGTCCATGAAGTCTCCCCAATATGACTGCCTAAACAAGACCTGAACAAAGTGATACCAACAGCATGCCAACATGGGAAGGAGGAATCCCTTGGGGTCCCAATCCTAAACAAAGAACTACCGGCAATTAAGGAATGCTGAGGATGGGAGAAAAGTCTTCCTCAGTGAAGCCTCCCAATTAGTAATCCAATGCTAAGTGATCAACCTTGAAATTATATACAGAGGCCGGGCAGTGGTGTCGGTGGTGCCTGCCTTTAATCCCAGCACTTGAGAGGCAGGGACAGACAGATCTCTGTGAGTTCAAGGCCAACCTGGTCTACAGAGTGAGTTCCAGGATTGCCAGAGCTAGACAGAGCAATACTTTCTCTGTCTCTCTATCTCTCTCTGTGTGTCTCTCCCTCCCGGGACAAATTTCAGTGCCTAATACAACTGGGTTGCAGTTCCATTCTGTGCCAACAGGTGGTGACAGTCCCATTAGGCGCACACACACACACACACACACACACACACACACACACATGAGATCTGGACGTGGATATTGACAAATTAAGTCTGAGAAGTTGGGTGAATGAAAACACCACTTCCCCATATATTTAGTGGTGGTTTAGGACTTTCAAAACAGTTTTAATGAACTGAGTAGGTAAGAGACACCAAGCCTGTATTCATGTTCACACCAAAAAAAAAAAAAAAAAAAACACAAAATTAAAGTTTCCACACTGCCAGTCTTCAAAGGCACCGAGGTTGCAAAAATGAAATATGAAATATCAGTCCTGTGCCCATTTCCAGCAAAGGCCCTACATGGACTTCAGATTCATTTGCTTAAAAGTGTTTGACTTTTTTTGTCTTTAAGGAAAGAGCACTCCAGGAGAAATTTTCCAACTTTTTCTCTGCCCTTTCCAGGATTTCCTAACCCTAGCAGGGTTTTGTTTTTTTGGTTTTTTTTGTTTTGTTTTGTTTTTGCTTTTTGTTTTTTTTTCCAGCTCTTTACAGCTCTCCAAACAAATGCCATGACACGTATCTTCAATTTGGTCCAGTAAATCTTTTCTGAATGAATCACAGAAAACAGATCCGTAAGTTTATTTAAAAAATGAAATATATAGAAATTAAATGTTTTATGGCACCTACTTATAACAATCAAGGTAATAATCTAATTGCAGCCCCCTCCCTCCAAAAAAAAAGTCAGTAGATCTTCTATGCTCCCTGCAAGCTCGGTTGGAAAGTGAAGCAATTATCTGGATAATTCAGTCCAAAAAAAAAAAGTATTAAAGGAGTAGTGGGGGTGGGCTTTTCCTGTCCCCAATTCACTGGAGCCATCCACTAACATGACCCACTGTGGTGGAATTTGGCATTAAAAAGGCTTGTGTTGGACCCTGTCCAGTGGCGTTTAGTTACTGGATTCTTTGAAGGACATTGTGCAAACATGGTCTCCCATGTAACTTGGGTCTAAGACCTGGGTTTTAAGAACCTTGATCTTACCACGCAGCTCCGCTGGATCGAATTATCCAGACGCTTCCATCATCCCACTTCCTGTTGCCGGGTTTAACAATGACAGTGTGTATTGCCACCACTTCCGCGTGAATGCTTGGATCCTGCAAGCAGAAACAGCTGGGTGAAAGGTGGCCGCCCTTTGCTGCTGACTCTTCGCTCTCTAGCCCGAGCATCTGCACTGAGTCGCTGGGATAATTGTGTTGATTTGACTAATGGTAGAAACGAAGGTGGGATGGCTCCCCATCTCAAACCCGGAGTCCTGCTTTTTCTGCAAGAGCAACCATGCTGGGGAAATAGCAGCATCGCTTCTGTTTGATCTGCTCGTGCTTCCTAACCACGCCTAAGCAGAGGCTTCTGTAAAAGGACCCTGAACCAACTAGGTACACCTGGCAAATTGAAGCCTTCTATCCTGGGGTAGCAGGGAGGAGGGGGGCACACATGTGTGCTGAGATTCCACTTTCTTTGCCTGTAGAAGAGACAAGCACCATCTGGCTCCTGCTGAGACAGTCTCACAGGACTGGAGGAAACACTGCTTAAACATTCTGCATTTACTCACTACTTATCAGTGGGGAGAGATTTCTCAAGAGGAAGGCAAGTCCTTTGTCTCTAGCCATGAGGTCCTCTTTCTAAATAGAGGATGACCTGGGAAGTGGAGGCTGGTACTGTGTTTCCTGTGTGTGAGCCTCAAGTGTGAGCTTTCATTTAGAGGTCTGAACTCAAATAAGAAGTGCATTGTAGAAATACTAGAAAAACTACAGTTTTCCACAACGATATGATTTCAAGAAGCAAATATGTTATCTTGCTTCTAACAGGTTACCTTATCGCCTCTTTGGAGCAAATGTTGTTAAAATTGTGATAAATAATTAAAAAAATAATTTTTTGTGGGGTGCTAGGAATCGAACCCAGGACATGGGCAAGCCACGCAAGTCCTTTACCACTGAGCCACACTTGCAAATCTCCTGAAAATAAGTTTTAATATCATCAACCTCAAGACAACTGACAGCACAGTCCTCTTTGGTGTTTTGTGTAGACAAAATACTTTTCCATGTGGACATACAGATTTTACATGAGCCTAGGGACTCTGGGATATAAGAAAATTCAGGGTCAGACATTTTGTTAATGAATGGCGGTGAAGGGAAGCTCCATTCCCACTATTATATGGGACAACAGAGAAAACAATTTAAAAATTAAATTTCTATATTTCTACCTTTAATTTAGGATGCCTACATGCTTGTTTTCCTTCTCTTCCTCCCCACTTCTCTTTAGCCTTTTGAGACTTGTTCAGATTCTGGTTTCTCTGATATTATTCATGTCATTCCATTTAATGCTGTGCTCAAAGCCATCCAAGGAAACTTACTTTTGCTTAAGTTTCCCAACCATAAAATTAACAAAGCATAATGGAAACCTAACTGACCTGGGCAATTGTTCTGGAAACAGATCTCATTACAATTATATGAAAGGGATTTTTTTTTTAATGGCTGTAAAACAGGAGGCATATTTATGCTCTCCCCAAAGATGAATAGACTTATTTATAGGTAGGCAGACATTCCATATGATAAGCTTAAATTAATCACGCTGCTGAAGAGGTTAGAGTCCAAATTAAATATAGAAGGGCAGCCAGGCTTCTTCCTCTGGTGTATTTTAATGAAGACTACAAAGGCTGAGGAAATATTTATATTCTTTCATTCATATTTTCAGGATTGCCTCATGTCTCAATCTCCAACCACCACCCCCCCATCTCTCATTTAAGGGAGGGTACTTCAAAGTGAATGAGGCTATTCTCAATTCTTCATATCTTAAGAAGAAGGAGGAGAGAAGGAAAGAAGGAAGGAAGGGAGGAAGGAAGGAAGGAAGGAAGGAAGGAAGGAAGGAAGAAAAGGAAGAAAAGGAAGAAAGGAAGGAATTAGTGGGGCTGATCATTAAAAAAAAAAACCAGCTGTCTTGACTGTGATTACTGCCATGAGTGGGACGCATGGGGTCACCCTCCAGCACTTTCTGTAGCTTTGGTGCAGATGATGATATCTTGGGGGAGTGAGAGACTTGGACCGGTACTCAGACTGTCTCTAGGTAACCACTGCAGATTTCCCTCAAAGCACACAATAGATAAGGAGCTGTTTCCCTAGCTGTCTAACTGCCTGTGGTTGACAGGAGCCCCTGCGAAGCATTTGGGGTAATTTAGTTAAAGATGGATATCAGAATGCTGGTGGTAAGGGAGGAATTCCTGCCCCAGATGACTTGCTGCTTTCTTCAATGAAGTTCAAGGGTAGAGACGAACCATCTTCCTGTTTTCCATTAGCAGTAGGACTAGAGCACTCAGCTGAACTCCAGAATGCAGGGTCAGGAAGAGACTCCTAATTGCTCTAGTCTTAGTTGGGCTTAAGTGATATCTCTGCCCTTCTGGCCGCACATTCAGTCTGTCTCTCTGCAGAGTCACATAGCTGAATCACGACACCCCAAGTGAGAAAACAATGTCTTCAGACAGTGGGAGATAAGGAGAGAGAGGAGAGTCCCGGGGCATAGTGGTGTGCATGTTGATATCACTGAGTTATGAACTATTTCCTTTTAATCTGGTTTCAAAAGATGACTTCCTCCATATGTGATTAATTCCACATAGAACTACAAGGAACTGCATATTTTAGAACTGTAGTGCCATCAGTACGAATGTTTAAACAATCTCTGTGGTCTCTTTCCCACAAACTGATTTAACATGTATATAAAAAGGCTTTTGGAATGAGCACTTTACATTTGCTTCTCAAACTTCAGCGTCTGTTTTCAGTAAATATTGAAGACGAAACTTCCCTCATTCATGCCTGCAGCACTGGCCAATTGCAACTGAGGAATGCAGTTTCAGGACTTCTCCTGAATGCAAAGTTCTTCATTGTGAACTTTGTTGTTTTTTTTCCAACCAGATCAACCAGACCACCGCAGACAGTGTTCACGGTCATGCTGCTGACCTAGTCATGGTTCTCTTAATCAATATGAAAACAGAGGGAGTCACAGAGGCCAGAGTTCAAATCTTCATTCCAACATTTACATCTGAAGTGACCACATATCCTGGCCAGCAGTGACCCCAGTTCACTGCTCTGATGTATATAATCAAATGTATATATGATTGCCTACTACTAAATCAGCTGAGGTCTCTATCATCCTGCTTGCATTTGGGGGAGGGATGTTTTGTTTTTGGTTTGTCTTTTTGTTTTGTTTTCTTTGTTTGGTTTTTTGAGACAGGGGTTCTCTTTGTAGTTCTGGCTGTCCTGGAACTCACTGTGTAGACCAGGCTGACCTTGAATTCAGAGATCTACCTGCCTCTGCCTCCTGAGAGCTGGGACTAAAGATGTGCACCACCACCATCTGCCTCTGACCTTGCTTTTTCTGGGTGCAGCAATATGTACCTGAGTTCTAATCCCAGCATCTCATTTCAAGTGACAAAACTATCAAAAACTCATCACAGATTTAACAAAGTTAGATAGCAAAGAAAGACTTCTGTAAGAGAGAAGACAGCACCTCCCCATCCCATAAGTCACCTGCTGCTCTTCTTGACTTATTAAACACCCTAAGGCCATTCGAGACATAGCTAAATACCCCAGATTCCAAGGAAGACAAATGAAGGCATTAAAGGGCAGGCAATGGGAAAGGAAGACTCTTCTCCCTGTTAGGATGGGGTCAGGAAACTAAAGACCCCTGAAGATGTGAGCAGAAGAGGCAGAGGTAGAGACTCTAGGCAGAATCAGTTTGCAGGACAGAGGCAAAAACAGCCACAAAAGAGCTTAAAGCAAGTTAGGGATTTTGCTGAGCAGGGAGGCTAGTGACACTCCACAGGGATGTGTTCAGGCAGCTGGTCCTGCCCAGGAGAGATGGATTCTCTCCATAGACCAGGCTGGCCTCGAACTTAGAGATCCACCTGCCTCTATCTCCTGAGTGCTGGGACTAAAGGCATGCGCTCAGCTGAGAGATTCCTTAGATGATGCCTCCAACAGTGAGAACACAACTGTGGGCTTCACAGTGGGACACCAGTGTACCCAGAGACTGGAGATTTCAGCCCACCCTCCCCAGTTGTCTGTCTTCATTGCAATTAAACATTCTACATTCTGGGAAAGAGGGGGTCTACAAGCAGGAGGTAAATATTTTTGCCATCTTTGAGAATGGATGAAGGCTGGAAGTCAGAAAATTACATTGATTTAAAGAAATAAGGAAATTGATATGTTTTGCTCACTTCAGTTTGTAGGCTGAAATTTATTCCACATATGTCTTTATAAATATTTAAGTGTATAAAACCAAATGTTTAATATAAGATCCACATTGTAAATATTCCTTTGAGAGTATTTTTCTGCATGGACTGGGATGGCTGAACTTCTTAAAATATAAGTCCATGGGGTGGAGGGGACGGTGCCTGCTTTTTTGGTAAGCCGCCCTGGGATACCCACAGGCTTTCTTCACTGCTGCAGGGAGTTCTAATGTACATTTAAAATTCAGATTGTTTGTCTCCAACATTTTCCTTGCCTGTTTCATATGCAAAAATATCCAGAGTTACTGGAAGGTAGGCGCTGTTGGATGAAAAGTTTCCATTGCTTTAGTTAACTAATTACAAAGTTGAACATTTTTTTCTCTAATGACAGTAAATATTTTTATAACATACATTCTTCTTTATAATAGTATCTTTTTAAATTTTATGTGCATTGGTGTTTTGTCTGCATGTATGTCTGTGTGAAGGTGTCAGATCTTGGAGTTACAGACAGTCATAAACTGTCATATGGGTGCTGGGAATTGAACCCAGGTCCTTTGGGAGAACAGCCAATGCTCTTTACCACTGAGCCATCTCTCCAGCCCCTGTAATAGTATCTTATTGGAGCAAGTTAACCTGCTACAGTATCCTCCTCTGTCCCAAGAGGATCACAGTCACCTCTTGGGGGTGCTGCCTGGGTTAAGAGGAGTCTTATGGAACACCTGGCATATATGGCTGTTGTTTGGACCAGAATATTACTCCACTATACTGATTCCACCATAGTAACTGCTTCTATTTCAAGTTCATGGTTACCTTAGTGGGAGGGGGTGTGATTTTCTTTTTGTAATCTAAATGAGTACTCCCAAATCATCTGATCTC